GCGTTTCTTCCGTCCTCATCTAGAGCAGGATGGCTTGGAAATGTTCGAGCCAAATCCTGCATATATAGAAATAATAAGAACACGAAATTTGTTCACAAATAAGAATATCTAAATCCATTTCAACCGAGATCCATTTCAACCGAGGTAAAGATGAAAAGAACATACATAAATGTATCAGTTTCTGGACGACGCTTTGTTAAATTTAAATTTTTTAGAAACTCTTATAACTAGATAAAGTATTTTTTCAAATTAGTTAAGTCCTGTTTGGTCCGGATTAAAATCTGACTAATCCAGGTCAAAGTCAAACAATCAATATTAACCAATCTTTCATGGGTCCCACAACTTTTCATCTATGCATTTTAAAATTTTTTATCACAATCTACTAAAAATCAAATTTTAATCTCCACCAAATACCTACTACTTTTTAATTTAGATAATTTTTGTTGTATATAATTTATGTATATAGAGGGGTATATAATATGATGTGGCAACCATCCGGTGGTTAATGTGAAAGTGTGAGATTTGAATTAAAGATTGGATGTGTCACGTGTCATTATGTGAACCATTATATGAAAATTTAAGTACTCCTAGCAAACTCCTTTTAATTTTAAAGGACTATGCTATTCGTACACGGTGGTTCACACCCCCGCTTACTCGGGCCCACCTGCCCTCCTCACAATAGGGGGCCATAATTATTTTATTCATTGTGAGCCCTCCCCTCATGTGAGGGTAGTGTAAATGGGGGGTGTAAATTCCGTGTACGAATGGTTTTACCCAATTTTAAAAACAAATTCTGAATTTTCAAAACTTCAACCGACCGGGCCCTCCATATATTTTGTTTGGTTCGATGTTATTTTATAGGACAGATAAGTTTTGGCTTTACATGGCATGCATCCAAAATAATATCACTCTGACTTTGTAAGATATAGATTCGAATCATATCTAGACCATAAAAACACACTTATCTCTTTCTTTTCATTTCTTGTCTTGGAATTTATTGCAAGATAATAGTGTGAGAAATTTAGAGTCTTATTTCTACTCAATTTAAGTCAACGGTGTGATTTCCTTTTTCCCAAAACTGTTCAAGTTACAATGATATTACTTTGGCCCTGTTTGATAGGGCAAGTTTTTTATGGAAGATAAATTTTTTTTTTTTTGTCATTTTCCACTTTTTAGTGTTTGATGAGAAACATTTCAGGTAATTGATTTTCCACATTATCAATTCCCACCACTTTGGTGGGAATTTGTTTTCTAGGCAGCTTTTTTTATTTTTTTGTTGACAATTGAAACAAATTATATCACTTTGATGGACAATTTTCATGAAAAAGAAAGTCAGACAAGCACCAAAAAATCCAAAATTTCAATATTTTTTAGGTGAAAAATTATACTAATCGAACACAATTAATTGACAATTCTCAGTAAAACAAGTTATAAATAATTCAATTCCATGGAATTCATTTTATTTCCACCCAAATTTCATTCTTACAATCAAACGAGCCCTTATATTAAAAGAAAATTTTATGAATAGATGGGGGTATCAAGAAGAGAGTCGAGAAGTCTTTTTTTTTTTTATTTAGTTAAAAAAATTATAATCTAATCATATCTTACCACATCATGTGTCCGTATAATAATCTGTGGGTGCTGATGTACATGTAGCACATCTAATTCCACTTATTGCCATACATTTATGGGATAATTGCAGCACAACTCAAACATTTCATTTGTATCACTCATGATTTTAAATCTTTAAGTTTGTTGCAGTTGGAGGACAAATCCATCCATTTGATCGTTAATTGATCAAAATAGTTAGCGGGTGACATCTCTGAGAATTTAAATATTTGACAATCTTTAGTCTCCTCCTAATAACACTCAAGAGAAGAAATGATTGAAGATGGGGTATCAAATTACGGACAAATACAATGTTGACAATTTCATCCACTTGATATCTTGGACCAGTTGGTCGAGATTTTAAATTTTTGTACGAAAACCCACCTTTATTAACACTTGCCATTGCCACATTTGCAATGCGATCAGCCCTTTTCAAAAATTCTTCCTTCTTCGAGTCCATAAGCTCCTTAATCATCCTTTCTACTGTCACTGTCGCATGTATCTTTCATGTCCAAACCAAGCTTCCAAAATTCTCCCACATGCCTTCTATTCACCTGCTGGTCAACATAATGTGGCCAGCATATCATGGGCTTCCCCTCCAGTATACTCTCCAACGTTGAGTTCCATCCACTATGGGTCAAAAACCCTCCAATTGTTGGGTGGGCTAAGACCTCCTCTTAGAAAGCTTGCAACAAAAAATTTAGATGCATTGAAAGTAAATTAATCATTGATTGATGAAAGTGAAAATTACAATTGATAAAATTAGAAAATTACAATGGCTGGTGTATGAGGCGAACACCAGTAAGTTTTAAATGGCTAATACCCCCTAGAATAGCTTGTGGAACAAAAATTTAAGTGATAAGAGTAGACGTTTAAACGACGAGGAATCATACTAATCGTTTACCAATATCAGAGTTATTTTACAATTGAAATAAAATATTACAGTGGAAAGAAAATTATAACTCAAACTGAATTAATATTTATAATGTACGGTCTAAGTTGGGCAAACTACAGCTGCGATTGAATTAAGGGGCTAAGTAAAGCTGCGATCCTTGACACAGTGGATACAACTCCTGTCTTCTTTCAAGATACTCCGTCTCGACAGGGGCGGACGCAGACAATGAAAGTTAGGGGGCATAATTGAACTTGCAAAAAAGTTTGGAGAAATTTTACAATCGAAAATTTACATCCAAAAAAATAATACCCCATGTAATTTTGCATCCGA